CAGGAATCCAGCTCCCAGTATAAGTTCCACTGAAATGACCATCAGCTTCGGCTGGAGTTCCACATGAGCACAAAGAAAAAGTGAAATGCAGCATGTGAGTCAACGGTGCCAAGTTTAGCGCCCTTCTCTTTATGGCTCACATGGAACCTTTAATTTCACCAAATATCACTTGCCAAGGATGCTGAGCACCTCTAGTAGCTCAGCTGTCATCATATTCCTAGAGGAGCTTGACATGAACAGTTCTGGGCTCATAATTTACTCATGAACAGCACAAATCCTGACAGATGATAAGAAATTCATTATATTTGCTAATCCAGAAGAGTGCTATGGGATTCACCTTTCCTTCATGTTTATTGAGTTCAGAATTATGAAAACACAACTCCTGTCAAGTCAGCCCCAGAACTGAGAGGAGAATTAGGCTTCGTGTTTTCAAACCCCAATTTTAATATGGAGTTGTATCACCACCGAAACAAAAAAACCTTTCTCCACACTTTACACCAGTGTTTGTGTCAGACTTAATATTTCTGGTGAGATGAGAAAGAAATGCTATTTTAGTAAAACACTTCTTAAATAACAGACACAGATCTCCCAGAAGTGGTGCAAAGAACATTCATGCAAAATCTGGGGTATGTACCAGGACAAAGCAATTGACTGAAATATTTTGGGCTAATAGTGAAAGCTCAGCAACCCATACCCATCATAACAGAGAGAATAATACAAGTGATTTGTGAGAAAGGGCTCCAGCCTGCTCGCTTTGCCGTTCCTGCAGACTCAACTGTGGCAGAATCCAGCCCTGAATATTTTATCTTAAAATACATCTACCAGCAGTAGCATTATTTGTCTTGGCAGATACTGGAGCTTATGCAAAAAGTAGAAGGCTTACCATGTGGAATATGAGGCAATAATGCAAAACACATACGGAACAATAAGAGAAAGTATTAAAAAATATAATTTAAAATAGCTTAATCTTAGGTACACTAGATGAACAAGTTAAAGATATAGATACCTCATTAGTAATTTCATATTAGTAAACACAGCATTAGAAGAGACCATACCTTTGCTTTATCTGAAAAGGAAAACATTCTACTTATTTTTTTCTGCTCTGCATGCATTTCATTTTCCAAAATGCAACCAGGCGTGCATTACATACAAACTTCATCCTGCTTCATTGAAGTACAGCTGTCATGAGCATTCTCTAGCGCTATGCAAAAGCCTTATGGAGTGAAAGGTGTTGGGGCAAGCTGAATCTGAGTCTAAGTGCCATATTTTCAGCAGAGTGCAGCTTCAGAAATGTTACTGGAAAGAATCAACTAGGAATTGATGCTGTTTAAGTAGCAAGCAACTTTTGGCAGCCAAAAAAGGGCAGTGTGTAATGATGAGAGCTGAAACAAACAAACCTTATTTAAGAAAAAGCAGCGTCACTTTACTTCTTGTCTAGAACGATACCGTACATGGCTTACATTAAAGTGTCCCGTGATAGCTGAATCAGACACTAACAGGCAAGCAAAGGGGGACATGGAGTGCATCACGCTTCCTGCATCAGTTGCGCTACACTGACACAGGCTGGAAAACACACAGCACACTCTAGGGACATACATGGAAAAATAAAAATAATAGAAACAAACAGAACATGGATCCATAGTGCCACAAACCTTCCGGCTCTGTGTTCTCTTTGAGGTGCACTTGCTTCAGTGGGCAGCAGAAGATTTCGTGACACTTAGCACGAAAAGGGGACTCTTTTTTCTTTAATTCCGCAGATTGGATCGAATCTTGCCGTAACATAATGTACTCCTGTGTGCCAGGGGGAGCGTCATCCATAACTGTGGTCACCACATAACAAAATGAACTCAAGTTAGAGCTTGAGGAAAGCAATCTAGAGAATTAAATCAACTACATAATGTCAGGGTGAGGGAAAGAAAGGAGGGGAAGAAATGTTTATAGGAAGGAAAATAAATTTTAAAGTGTAAAGTATCTTAGTCATGGTGGTAGAAGGATGGGGAAAATAGTTACTTTTACAAACAATGCTTCTCATAAACATCAACACTTTATATTGTTTCATGCAGCTTTAATAAATAGTAAAATAACACCCTGCTCCAAAAAGCAACAATAAGGTTCTCTCCTATGTCTTTGCTTTATTCTCCTATAGCACCTATATCTATTCTGCATGCAGATTAAGAAAAAAAAGCAAACAAAGCATGCTTTTATTGCCTAGCCATAAGCAATCTCTACGTTAACATCAGAGAGTCATCATTCCACATCTACAGGTAATGCAACATCAGTGTATCTATTCCCCAGAGTAAAAAGAACATGCCTTTATCGGGATATGTAATTATACACAGTTCCTTAGAGCAAGGATGGTAATCCAATGACATTTGACTTGATCATCATTTTCAATGGATAGAAGAGTAGATGTACAAAGAGAAAGCACATTAATCCTTTTGATGGTTTTCTTGTAAAACAGCAAGTAATTTTTTAAAGTTGATCTTATAAATCAATACTGCCATTAATAATATAAATGATATGCAGTCTGAAATGTTTTCTGAATGGGGTCAGACTATTAAATGGTAAAAAGATAAAATATATAGCATAGAGAAAGCTCCAGCTACCTCAAACTATTACATTACCAGAAAGAATTGAAACACTTTTCCACTATCTAAAAAATGAAGCCTTAATAACACTTTAAGGCACAGATCATCTCTCAAGAACAAAAAATAAATGCTTTTTCAAAAGACAGTCTCTAACCACTACTAGTTATTTATAGTGTGAGGCAGAGATATAAAACCACAGCCAAAACCAAGCCAAGACTCTCCAACTCTATAGCAAAAAAAACCCCAATTAATAATATAAAAAAAAAAATTCCAAAGATTGGGAAAGTACAATTCCAACAATTGGGAAAGTAACCATTGATAGGCTAGTCTAGAACTGCAGATGCACTAGCCTTACGTAAGTTTATATGGGTCTAGAAGTGTTGGACATTAATTCAAACAATTTAACTGCTTCCTAAATATCTGCCAATGTATAATCATTTTAAAAAACTGTCAGATTTAAATATGGATCCCCTCAAACAAGTACGATCCTCTTGCATTTTCACACACTTGATTTTTTTTTTCTCTCCTATCAGGAATGGTACTAGTAAGAGTCACATGTAGGTGATAAATAAGTGATTCAATTTGATAGTCTTCCTTTTCACAGTGGGCAGTCACTTTCTTTCAAGACCGCATTAATCCGCAGGAAACACTTTGCACCTTGGCTGTTGTTGCTTCATTAGACTACACGCAGCATCAGTAACACACACTAATAATCCATATCAAGCGTCATTAAAAGGGATGCATGAGCTAATAGGAAAGCAAAAGTGGTTCAAAAAAGAGTGGCGGGTCAATGGAGCACAAGGTCTGGGTTGCCATATAATTGCTCCCTTAACGATACTAGTTTTACTTTGGCACGTTTGAAGGGTACGTATGTGTTCATGAAACATACTGACAGCCCCGAAACTGAAGGGCAATTGCTGGGAGTAATTACTAAGAGTCAACATCCAAGATAAGCCAAAGACTAACAAGCCCTGATGGGTCACTCCTCCAAAAAGACACCACACAGCAGCTGCTGTTGCAGGCACCTGTGTAAAGCCACCAGCGAGCTGCGTGCAGCGCCACTGACGTTAACGGTGCGGAAGCCTTAGGGCGCGTCCCTCTGACATTTACAGGGATAAGGTGCGCTGTGAAACATGAATAGCCAGCAGAGGAGTGAAATGCACAGCTACCTTCTGCCAGCAAGCTGGCTGATACACAGCAGAGCATGCCCTGCTGTCAAAAACTCAGCTTTGGGCCAAAGGCATGTCCTTGGGCTGACCCTCTGAGAGGCAGAGTCCTTCCCGAGAAGTCCAATTCGACTGCGGGAGCTCAGAGAACTATCCCCAAGGTTCAACGTTGTGCGGTGCTGGACTGCCACTTTAGTGAAAAAAAAGCAGAAATCAGGCCAGTAGCTGCTAAACAGGGTCTGCAGGGGAGAAGGAGCTACTGGTGATTACTCAGAGGCATGGCGTAAGGACCTATTCTTTTAGCCACAAGAGCTCTTTGGCACTGGGCTATGATTTCTCAGCTTTTGTAAGCTCAGAGGGCTCCTGCAGCATCTGCAAACCAACTCCACAGACTGCTTCCATTCATCAAGTGTTTGGCAAATACTCACTTGACATCGTTAGGTAGGTCCACCTCTATCTCAGGCAAGCTCACTAATTAAGGCAGGTGGAGAAAACATAACTTGTCCTTTACCAGTCACCTACACACTCACATCATCACCTACACACAGATTTATTTAAAAGTGAATAAGCCACGAAGAGAACCACACCTTCAATAAGTGAGGAACATGCTGAAATCAACAAAAGCACATCGGGTTACTAGAATCCAGGACAGCAGGTGTAAATGAGTCTTGGTTTTGAGGACCATCATAGCACTGACATCTGCAGCAAACCCTAGGAACCACGGCTCTAATAAAGCCTTAATGCTGGAATGATGTATGGATAACTTAATTGATGTCGGTGTTCTGAAGGGAACAGCTAAAACCTTCTCTTAACATGATGAATGGCTTCAAGTCAGGCTGAGAATTTATTACAAAACTAGGAACACTCCCTGACCCCAATGCCTCCTTTTCCCTGCTACGACGACAGCCAGACACAGTCATGGAGCCACTGAAATCACAGCTACAGGACCTTAATTATGGGTCCCAAGAACCAATCTACAAGGAAGTTTCAATGACACAAAATCTAATGTAAAAAGCTTTAAAAACCCAATTATGTCTAGTTTTGATGACTAAAAATAATCAGTGCATAACCATGAAAGGATCATTGTTAAACAACTGTGAACAAGCACTTTGGAAAAAGAAGAAATATCACCATGAATCTGCTATGATTCTGCTAGTGGGATAGAAACCACACTTATGAAAGAATCACATGTACCCCAGAGTAGGAGAGAAACAGTAAATTTCAGGGCATTAACAAAAATCCAAAGCAGTATTTACATACTGTGCTATGTGGAGCAGAGGACATTGGTTTTACTCAACTGTTCCCTCCATTAGAGGCTCTGCTAATTGCAGGACCTAGGATATGCTTACACTCCTCTGTGTGATGCACAGATACACGTGCTAGCTTTCAATTAGCTAATTTGGGTAGTAATCACAAGCCAGCATCAAGCTCAACAAGGCCAGCAGAAGACCCATGAGAAGCCTGGCAGATGCCAAGCTTCACTCCATCTAGAAAAAACTTTCATTGAGACACATCTACATTTCCTTGGCCACCTTCTTGAAGGCAGATGCGTAGTCATCCTGCAAGCCTCCACTATTTGGCTGTGCCTCTGTTGTTATACTTCAGCAGCTGCTCACCCCAATGTACTCCCCATCCTCATAGGTAAAATACCTCAGTGGTCTACATTTCCATCTTCCCATGAGTAAAACAGGGACAAGACTTCACAAATACTTCATAGCTTTAAAAAAAAAAAAAATCTCCGCCCCGCCCCCCACATTTGATGGAGACCAAAACCACAGCAGCTGTGTATACATGAGAGGAATTTGCCTAGTAGCATAAAATAGCTGCAGTAGCTATTTTGTTTCCTACATCAAAATATTCAACTTGCTAAATATGACCCTGTAACATATTCCTTAGTTTTAAAAAAATAATAATAATTACAATAATGAAAACTTACTGTCAACAAGCCAGTAGGAAAAAAATTCCTTCTTCCTATAAGCCTTACTGAGAGAGACGAAAGTGATCTTTAGGATTACTGCCGGCACCAGGATGTTTTTCAAGATAAATTCGAACATGTTTACTTTATATAAATACACCAGCTAAACACTCTGCTGATTTGTGTCTTTCTTTTATGTCCAACTGCATTTCAGTCCCATCTAGAACTGCCAGAAACCATAACATCAACCCCCCCGCCCCGCTTTTACATGGAGAGGCTTCAGGTCTGCTAGCTGAAGTCTGTTGCAACCATAGGGTAAATATGCATTAATATCCAAGCAAAAGAAATCCCCATGTTCCTGTTAGACTGTTGTTCTTGTATGTATGAGACTATTTAACACAAAAATTTTATACTTCCATGGATCCATTCCCTCCTTGAATGACCTTTCAGATCATTACCTGAAACATGAATTTCCTTCCGTCTCCTTCAGTTCCCTTACTTTTCTTAGTCTGGTTAGTTTTACGTGCTGTGAGTCCCAGGATATTTATACTTGCAATAAATTAGTTTTTCTGGCATTTTGGAAGGACTAAAGTCATAGCTCTACACTAGATCTTCAAGCCATGAAGAGCATTAGAGTGCCTCTTAAATCACGCATCCACAAAGTGAAGAAAATCCCCTCTCTTTGGTACAAGGGAGCAAGTTGTAAAAAAACCAAAACCAAAACCAAAAACATTCCCCCAGTACGACTGTTTTTTGAAAAATAAGAGCAGCAGCACATGCCTCGCCACTGTAGCCTGCCAGGCTGAGCTGTGAAATAAAACAGTGATGCTCACTGAGCACCTCCTTCATCCTCTGCCTCCTCCACCCACAACAAGGAAAGAAAGGTCACGAGTGAAGTCACCCAGGCCCCTGAGGCTGTTTAGAGTTATGTAGGAAATGTTGGATTTTTTTTTTTTTCCTTTTAGGGAAAACATTAGGATATCAAGTTGCTTTCAGCTCCTTACAGGAACAAATCTAAAAAAATCTCTCCAAAATAACTTGCTTCAAGTGATTGCCTGCAGGCCAGGGAATGGGTAGGGAAGTGGGGTATTTTTCTGTAATAACATTTTCCCAGTCGAAGCAGCTGATGAAAAGCTCTCGGGTATACATGC